GGGAAATCTTCGAATCTTCAACGGAAAAATATAGAAAAGGCTGCAATCGCTTACTTCGGTGCTAGGAAATCCTGATGCTATTCGTTCTGCCATAAGAGCAGCATTTCCTCCAATGTGATACTGAGCTCTTGGTATGGCTGCTTCGGCTTGTCGTACCACAGTTTCAAAAGTAGCTTCCGATGCCATATACCTTAGAAAAAAACATGAAAAGGTAATAAAAGAAGTGTGGCCATGAAGTGAGGTACCTTTCAGCAGGTGCTCCTCTTTGGAAAAAATGTATAAAAGTTTCGTGCAGATCACTAAGAGTTTCTAAGCTTTCATGATCCGTGCCTTTCTCACATGTTGTATTTAAGTTCTCAATTATTTGTATGCCTGATACGATAACGTCCACGTTGCAATTGAAACTAAAATAGAACTCTTGAAATGGGAAAAAAAGATATAATTAAACAATTGACTCAGTCCTACCCAACAACTGCTCTTCTAAATGGTATACCAGGCTTTGCAATCGCTCGATCCCATGCTAATGACATAGCACGTTCTACTGAAAACGATCTTAGCTGGTGTTGCTCATGGAGATAACTGAAAAATACGTCATAGATTGGCAAAGAATTGAAATATTTCTAGAGGTTGCTGAGGGCTTTTAAGCCAAACTAGAGACGATCCCTTGCATAGTTTCCTCATACTCCGTAATCTTTTAACCTATATGCAAAACCTCTCTGTGGTATGCACATTATAAAAACTGTTTCTAACGAATATGAGTCAGAAGCAATATAGGCCAGAAATCATGTACCTCGTGGTAAAGATTTTCTGCTTCACCTGACTAAATCACACCAGAACGAACTATACACACAGAAAGGTGAAAAATCGTACCAGGTTTCAAGTTTGAATAGAAATTAAGAAACAAATATATAAAAATTCAGCATTGCATGGTGAAATAATCTGAACATAGCCAAAACACAGTCGAACTCATTCAACCCCTATTTGCCAAATCAAATCCAGTTCTCCAGAATGAAAGGCATGAACTGTATTCAAGATACACTGGATTAATTTAGGTGATAAAGGATTGCTGCGTTGAACTGAGAGTCTTCTCAGTGCAAAAGAAGGGCGCAGTAAAATTTATAAATTATAAAACTGTCGACAAATCGTTCTACTTATTATCAAGGTACTATAGGACAGAAGGACTAAGTTTGAACTGGTATTGGATAGAAAACGGTCGTGCAAATCTAATTTTCGTTTAGAGCTAATCTTCCATTATAGGCTCTTCTCAATACATTAGTTTTTCACAAATTCCAGATCTCACGTAAGTAAGTGATCAGCTTTGTCAACTTACTGCCGAGATAAGGTAGTTAACCTGAGGTAGAACAAAAAAGACGTCGTGTCACAAATCCAAATAAAATTATTATTCAAACGACATCAACCAAACAGTCAAACCGACTATTCACCACAACAAAAA